TGTTGCCTTTGTTGGCGTGGCGACCTGGTTCAGGAACGGCACGGCGACCAACCCCAGGCCGCTCGGGCCATCAGCTCGCAGACACCAATGTGGTGGACAGCAAATGGCGTTTATTGATGGGTAGCACAGTATTATATAGCTTAGGTTTACAGCGTCACTTCCGTCTGCTTACACCTATGGGCTAAACGCTACTGGTTATCAGGAGAGGAGGGGGGGGGCCTACCTTTCCGTACAGCACGACATCTTCCGACCGCCAGGCCCTAACTATCCACAATCCTTACTCATATACTGTGCTTAAATTAAAAAAAAAATAGAACAAAAGCTGGTAATAAAACTTCTTCCTGTCTGTACTATTGAAGTAGTAACAAATTTTTCTAGACTAACGGATTTCAACCAATCTCAACATTTAGAAAACTGACCCTTCCAACTAATATGTCAACAGTCGTATTTGGTAACATGGGCAGATTAGTTTCGCAAATGAATGCAATGGCAGCCAAATGTACAGACCTGTTAAGATATGAAACCCAGAGCCATTACCTTGCTAAGTTTTTGCTTTGTTAGTGGACCTCAATACCAATTCCTTCAAATATATCACACCTCGATGAAAAGAGTTTACTGCAAATCTTCCCCACCCACCAAAAAAACAAATGTCAACACCCCCCCACGCCCTCCCCCAAAAAACAACAACAACGATGACAACTGATTCTTATGCATTAAAACACAGGTCTCCACATTCTGCTGAAGAACACTTTTTTCCTCTACACCGCATTTAGTAAACCCTCCCTATCTACGCTCATACAACATAAAACTTACCAAAAACATCTTATGGCTTATCTAGCATCATGAAAAAAGTAAGAAAGCAAATACACAGTTTTCTTATGAAGAAAATTAATACTTTCTACAGAAGAGCAGCAGCAATCATTTGGTTAAGTTCTTCTTTAAGCAATTAACTGCAGAGAAACCTAGACAGCAGTACTTAGCAATACCTAGAAGTCATAATCATAGGCTAAACCACTTCTCTACGTAACTAATACACTCAGACTAAGAAGACCAATTGTCTTTTAAGCAGCATGTAGGACTCTTACAGAAAGGCAGGCAAAGAAACTGCAGTAATTCTAGCAGACTTTTACGGATCTTTTACTAAGTCTTAAGACGTCTTTTACGTAACATAAGCTAGCCAACCATTACCATCTGTAAACATCTTAAAACCTTAACTTCTTTAACAAGATTCCTTCCCCCCCCCTCATAAATCTGTAAAACTTCAGTTAAACCTTTCTTTTTAATAATACCTGTAGCACAATATTTGTAACTTGTTTGCTATCATTTAGGATGTTAACCACATACATTCTAACATCCAGTGCTTCTTCAAAGCGCTTGTTTTGGAGAGAAGGGGACAAAATTGAAATAGAATCTAGGAAACGGACAAAGAATTCTTGAAGTGCCACCACCAGAGACAAAAATAATCGTCCACTGCTTCTGGCAGAGAAAGAATTCTCCAAACATACCCTAAGCCCAAGCACGGGGTACAGGAAGGAATTTCTAAAGCTACAGTCCCAGAATAGGAGGAAACATCACACCATACCTTAACTCTAGATCAAGGTATAACAAGAAAACAAACCAAAGAATTGCACGGAGAAAAGACTTCAGAACAAAACTTGGAAACACAGCAAAAACATCCAAGCAAAATAGACACTGAAGCCCAAGAAATAAAGCACATATTTGAAATGGCAGCAGCAATTAGTATATCTAGAAATGTCACATCCCTTTAAAATAAATATCATCCATTACTGTTCCCCTAAAAAAGTTGCAAGTTCTGCTTCCAAGAAAGTAAGGCACTTGTTTCTCATCTGTAACTTGGGTTAATGCAATTAATTTCACTACTAACATGAAGTGTTCAGAACAAATTATTTCCAAGTAAATCAAAAGAGAATAAATTACTAATGCCATGTAACATCTACTTTTTACTCCATGTGAAACAAGAAAAAATTCAGTGCAAATTTTGGCACTAATTCACATAGGCCCAGAAGCATCATCCCACTAATGTAAATCCAAACCACCGCATTACTCTCACATAGCTGGTGAACCAGCTGCTGGTCACTACATTCACCTGCACAGGTCTTTCCCTGCACAAAGCAATAGTACGCATTTTAAAACAGAAAACCTCTCTTTCTCTTCTGCTACTGTGACGCATAATCCTTAAGAACAGAAGCTTCAGCAGAAGGATCATATGCTGTGCTGGGTTCACATGGCGAGGTTTCCATAGGGAGAGGGAGCTGCAGGTGCGTTCCCTGCGGATACATCCTCAAGGGATCTGCAGACCGTTGGGAGGACCCATGCTGGAGCAGGGGAAAAGAGTGAAGAGGAAGGAGTGGCAGAGAGAAACTGCTATGGACTGACCACAAAGCTGAAGGCTGCAATATTCAAAGAAAAAACAGCCAGAGAAAATGTTATCCAAATTATATTGAGGAATCTGAAACCTGACATGGTAAAGTACAGTTCCAGATAAACAGAAGCACATGTTCAGTTAGTCAGCGTCAATTTCTTTCATACACACAACCAACAAAAGCTGTTACAGACTGATCTATAGCTGCATCTGGTCACTGTTGACTGAGATAAAGAGTAAAAAGGTGTCAGTTTGGTTTAATAAGCATGATGACACTGAAACACACGAGAAAAAGCTTACAAGAAAGTTACCTGAATACAGAACCATATCTTGTAAATAGTTTTAAATTATTTGGTAAGTGGTAAGACTCAGTTAGTTGATGTTTGATACAGGAAGAATATTTTTTATTTGTGAATCAGTAACAAAAATGTGCCATGCCTAGAGTATGTAATTGCTACAAACAGCTTGATAAAATTAACAGAAACAAGTTGCATTTTATTACTTCAAAACTGGTTGAAGTTACGAATTATCCCAAGTGGCCCAATTAATTTCTGATCTAAACCACTGAACTGTAGCAGAGCTGGCAACTACACTGTACAGAACGTACTGGAGATTTGTGTAGCTTGATTTCAGACAGTAATGCAAATAAACTTGTAATTGCTTCCTCACTGTCCTAAATAATAGGATGACGGATGCAGAGATATTCGCATCTGTTTTCTGGTTACTGATGGTTCATTAGAGTATATAATTTTATCATAGTGCACAGAATTAGCAAACCACAGAAGTGTGAATATTTGCAAGGAGTGAAGGTGTGAGAAAAAGATTACCTGTTCACAGAAAAAAAAAAAAGCCACCCCTCCCAAACTGTGACAAAGTATAAAATGAAACTTCGAAGCAATAGTGACAAGGCTGTTTATATAACTATGACATAAACTTAAAAAATGTTTG